ACACACACACACACACACACACACACACACACACACACACACACACAGACACACACACCACCCAGGTACTGTTACAACTCAGTCTTAGAAGTGACTATAACCACATTTAATCATCGCTAATGTTGTTGTTGGCTTTGACATTAAATGACGAGACGAGCTAGACTGCACCCTCGTCCCATCGCCTTCTCTCAAAACTTTAAAGAAAAAACAAAACGTGCATGTCAACAAAACGCATAAACCCCAACACATCGAGTTCTGCCTAACAATAATGTCACGACACATAAATTATACAAAAATAAAGGCAACTGTTATTGGTGGTTGAATAAGTAAAGTCTATTAGACTTGTTTGTCCCTTTCAGTGTTTAAATTAAACCCTGTTGTTGTGACTTTGTGTAGAAATGATAATCCTAATAATTTCCCAAAAATAAGATTTTCTTTCCTCGCAGTGATGGTCGAACAAGGCTAATCAGGGGCTCTGTGATTGGAACTCCTTCTAAAAGCTGAGTCCATGTGGGGAACAGGGCTGCCACATTTTCAATTTCCCTCCTCTCACCGCCTGTGGTACGTGTCCCATCTCCATCAGTGGAGTCCGGTGTTGTGTCATACAGTCTCTGGATCCTTCAGCTCGCCTCACTTGCTGATAAGGAAACCTCCCATCCAACGTAACTTACAGGCGAACCAGCGCCGCAGAGGGCAGAAGTATTCAAAGTGGAACTGCTGGAATTCAGGTGTCTTGCGGATGTCTCTCAGGAAGGCTATGTCCAGGTCTGACTCAGTCAGCATGATGAGGAGCAGCAGCAGAGCGAACAGCAATCCAATGGTGACCAGAAATAGACGCAGCACGCTCAGGACAAATTTGTTCAGCTCCTCTACGTCACTAGGTGGTGACGGCCTTCTCCTGACCATACCCAACGCTCTCCTGCCAGGCCTGAACTCTGCCGCATGCTCTTTCTTCGATATTCCCTTCTTTGCCTCCTGCTCCTCGTCGATGCTGCAGGGAGATCCGTTGAGGTTACGAGCCAATGGCATCTCTGCGCCGTGTTCAGCCACGGGCGTGGGCAGCACACTGTCCGAGGGGCTGTAGGCCTCGTCGGAGATGACCGCTGATGTGCTTGCCTCGCTGCCGTCCACCAGCTGGCGCCGGGAGTACATGAAGGTATCACCGTGGGAGACGGAGCGCACGGGCGTAGAGTGGGCGCTGTCTCGAAGGGACTCCAAACCTGTAAACCAACAGCAGAGGGTTCATGAGGGAGAGACGATGTTCAGTAACTAGTAGGTGTTGTTGAAAGATGAACTGATTTTAGTATAGATTATCTGACATGACTCTGATAGCAACTTTCGTGTAAATCCCTTCGATAGTGTTTCATTAACCTGCAGGAAAACCAACCAACAAACCTTCAAATGGAAAGGGGTGAAAACACAACCTCCTTGGCAGAAGTAACAAATCATTTGAAGGAAATCGAGTCAGACAATTTTTTTTCCATGCATGCGTTGTTTGCCACCATTTGCTGTTTGGGTTGTGAAAATGCAGAAGATTAACTCACTGAATTGATTCATTCTGACAGAGATTATTGTATTTGTTATTTTTCGACACTCTGGAATGAAGTGAAACATTATCTAATCAAATATTTGATTTCTTACTGGAACATTACACTCTAATGCGTTTACTTTTCCATTTTCTATTCAGTAAACTTGAAGAACCCTGTTTTTAAAAGCAACTTGAAAAGCATAATTTTTAGTTTTCATTTAATTATTTCCAAATGAAAATTCACTCAGCCCTTTTGATTCTGAGGCAGGTTTGCTCTGAACATCAGAAACACTGTGCTTGCTGTGCCAGCATTCATTTTTCTTATATGGAAAGAGGGGAAGAAGGACTAGTTTTAAATGGCTAACTTGTTGTTGCCCAGTCTTAAGAAACAGATCCAGTTGTCACATCATGTAATGAAATATTCCACTCTGACCCTTAAGTAAACAGGAAACAGATCAACCACCTCTGAGAACATTTTCTATACATTCACTTGATCCTCATCTCCTCTGGAAGCTGTAATCACAACACATATCATCTCAAGACACTTTACATAGCAAGATCAAGACCGTACAGATCTTATTGTGTAGTTGTCACGTCTATGAACTTATGAACTCTGGACACTCAGTCTCTGGACTTTGCCTCCTGAATAAGGATTGGTTTGATTTTGATTATAGATTCCTTGTTTGTTTTTGCCTGTAATTTTGTTTTCCTTGTGTTGGGATTTATGTTTCCTCCTTGAGTTCTGTTTCCTGTTTTATTTTGTAGTTTCTGCTCCTCTCCTGCCCCTGTGATTGTCTGCACCAGTTCCTCATGTGTTCCTTGTGTGCTTCACCTGTGTCCAATTACCCCTCCCTTCCCTTTGTATATAAGTCTCTGTGCGTCCCTTTGTCGGTTCATTGTTGTACAAGGTCGTCTCACCACCCGGTGTCTTTTTACCTCCATCATCCCTCGCCTGTAAGTTCCGACTGTCTTCTTGTGTTCCCTTGCTTTTTCTGTTTTGCCCTTTTGTGTTTTTATGAGAACTGCCTCATTAGAAGGACACTTATTGTTCAAACCGCGTGTCTCTGCAGCTTGAGACCTCCTGCTTTAGCTAAACTTGACAGAACAAAACACATTAGGAGCAGAAACTACAAAATAAAACAGGCAATATAAATCCCAAAACAAGAAAACAAAAGTACAGGCAAAAACCAAAAAAGGAATCTATAATCAAAATCAAAACTCTCCTTATTCAGGAGGCAAAGTCCAGAGACTGAGTGTCCAGAGTACATAATTTCATAGACATGACAATAGTTCCATAATTTGATGTGATGCTCAGGGAATACCAACAAACAACATTACTATTTAAAATCTTTGCATTACTGTTTCTCTATTTTTAACAGGGTCACACTTGATAGTTTTGCGAGCTGCTCTTTTCAATCCAATTCAGAACCATTCTGTTTACCTGCTGGGTGGCAGCCTTGGAGCTGGGGTGGGACAGTGAGCCTAGAGGGGGTCCTGGAGCTCTGTCCCACTCCAGAGCCTGAGCTGGAGGATCCCCCAGGGAGAGCAGGGAGGAGCGGTACGACCCCCAGGGCCTTGCCCAAGAGCCGGGGCCCCATACTCAGCACGCGCACTGTCACATCTCTGTAACAATGGTTGATCATGCGCAGGTGAACGTTCACCTTGGTCTTGATCCGGATCAGACACTTCACCATGGTTCCAAAGGAGCAACAAACACCAGCGGAACCTTAACTGCCTTCCAACTTGCTGCTCTTTTATTCTCTTCTTTATCTCTGTCTCACAACTGTTTCTCCGCTCGTTCTTCCCACTGCCTCACCACAATCTTGTGGGCAGCCGTTAGACTAAACAGCACTCCCTCCTCCCATAGGCAGGCTTACAGCGATAGAGACAGACAGAGACTGAAAGACAAGGCACAGGAATGTGTTCCACTGGGGCCACAGCCCCCCCGGTGTTGACTGTGACACACACGGCATGGCCGCTGACAGCAGGAGCTATTTTCAGCCAGAGATAATATTACCAGTGTGGACATACCATCACAGACAAAGCAACTGGACAGAACACAGGGGTTTGTGCTGAAACGTGGGGTGCAATGTAAAGGCCCGCCCTCTATGTCAATGACAAGAGGGTCCACTGTGACCAGAGTATGTTTACATTTTTATTGTGAACATACTACAAGTTCATTTGGTTTTATTCAGGCTGTTAAACAAACAGCAAACGGACTCACAGTGGCAGCGCTAGTAAAAGGTTAATAGCCTGTTGGAGGAAAGAGGGTAGAATAAGTGCCCTTTATAAACTGACAGCATGACTTTCTCATGTCAAAATAATGCCTGAGGCCACAGGCTGACGGTTTGTGTGTGTGTGTGTGTGTGTGTGTGTGTGAGCAACATTAACAACAGAGGAGGGAGAAGAAATGATTGTGACTTTGTGAGTTAAAATTTTGCACTGTAGGTGTTAAATCCACTGCAGATCAGGTCACATGGAAGAAAAAGGTGATCCCAGACACTGTTGGGCCACGTGTACCACGGGGCGGAGGAACTTCTGCAGTTGCCAGGGGGTACGCTAACACACTCTAAAGGTAAAAGTCAAACAAAGATCCTCAGAGTGCACTGATGGCTCCCAGAAAAATTAGATTTAACATCCTTGTCATCAATGCCTATTAAATTCTGAGCCATCAGTGTAGCATGTTCATCTTTGTCTGACTTTTGCTTTAAAAAAAAATCCACATATTAAGTCAGCTGTAACACCTAGGCTCTAGATGATCACTCCTTATATCTCAGAACAGCTTTCTGTCCCACGCAGGATCTTATCAACCAGTATTTATCTACTCTTGTGCATGTGTGCATGCGTGTGTGCACACTCTACCTTCCATGATGGAGATGTGCACAGCTCTGCGTCGGGTCCTGGGTACACTGGTCAAACGAGGGCCGTGGGTGATGGATGGACAGCTCCTACTTGGTACCATGCCGGCCCTAAATAACACAGAAACACGTGCACATGGACCACTGTGTGAGCACAGGCATTTTCGGATGCACCAAGACGGTTTGAAATGGGTGAATAATTCCTAACAAATATGCAGATTGACATCTTACCTGTGGATCTCAGGAGGGTCTCTTTTAATTTTGGCACTTTGTTCCATTACTTCCTTTGCAACTTTTCCACTGAGAAAACCAAGAAAATCAAACTGATTTATACAAAACAAGAAATTCAACACACAGACTATTTGCACAGTTCTGGGAAAACGTATACAGAATGTTGTCAGTGTGTAAACATGTAATATTTCTGAATTGTTCAGTGATAAAGTTCTATCTGTGTGTGTTTGATACCTGTATCTGAAGCGACTTCCCTTGAAGAAGAGATTACTACTGGACACAGTTCGGACTTGACTCGACTTCTCCAGCCTGTGAGTGAATGTGGAGTAAAATCATGAATACACTCATAAACAGAAACAAAGTTAAACCTTCTCAGAAGTAAATGTTGACAGGTCATGTGACTCACTTGAAGAAGGCCTGATTCTCGACTCCACACTTCCACAGATGCTTACAGGCCTCAGGTGTCGGTGCAAAGTAAGTCAGTATGATCTTCTTGTCCTGCAACAAGTCCAGCACATGAACCCATATGTACAACACAATAATGTGTTTGACTAAATAAAATATTAAGACACTTTTCTGATACTGATGGATGTTTAGATTCTTTTAAAGCTCTTAAATTCTTATTCAAATAGACTTTTCCTCCATTTAAAAGAAAATGTCTTCACAGTCGTACCTGACATTTAAACTCTCAGACTTACTGAGCTCTTGGATAAAAGGAATTTTCACCCTTAAGATTTTGCATTTGCAGAATAAATATTAACCAACTCTCACACTCTGCTTTAACACACAGCCAACACAATGTTTTTTGTCCAATCATTTCCTAGTTCTGTATTAAGGACAGATCACTTTAGCTCCCAGCGACAGTGTCTCCGTGCATTAAACAAGGCCACAGTCATTTAACTTCCTGAGCTCCACAGGCCAGAAATGGCAGTGTTTTAATAATGCATGCACGCCTACCTCTTTCTGATTTGCATATATGTGGAATGTCTTTGCTTCAAACTTGAGTTTGGTCACCTCATCCCTGAGATAGAAGAAGAAAATGTTGAGAGATGGAAATGAGATGGAAAAGTCAAATAAAAAGAGACAGAAAATGAAGGAGGAGCAGATACAAAATCAAAGAGGGAGGCAGAGGCAGAGAGGAAAGTGAGAGAAGGGCACAGCGAGTGGAGAAAAGGTGCTAAAATATTCATTTTGGTTGGAGGCACATTAATAAACCCAACAGTCGTTCATTTCAGAGGAGAAAAGTCTAGACACATTGATTAAAGAATATTACAAGAATTACAAATTACAAAAATAAACTGCAAGAGATGAAAAAAATGACACCTACAACAACACTTAACTCAAAACATGGGTATACAACGTCACAGCTGGTCGACTCAGCTGTCTTGAAAAGGTTACTCATATTCCACTTTTTGTTCTATTCACTCATTTGTGCAACACAAAGATAATTTTGCAGACAAATGTTGTTCCGGCTGCAGAAGCCATCGTCACGACACAATGATTAAGGCCAAATCAAATTCAACTCAGAGCAGCGTTCCTGGCTGACTGGTACGAGCTTCATTAGGAGCCACAGTATGAATGCTCCGAGTCTGTTTTTGGCTCATGGACATGTGGCTCAGAATCAATCAGATTTATTTCATCAAAACAAATTAGTTGCACTTATACATTTTCAGATGTGTATGCAAATCATGGGTCTATTTTTATTCCTCCACAAGATTTCACACAAGACATTAGGCCTCCCAGACATTTTATGAAATGACTGATTAGCTGTATTCTATTAGGAGATTTGATGAAAGTAGGAAAAAGGAACAATCTAAATCTTAAAGACAATGAAAAAAACAGTTATAATTTGGATTTAGATAACTGGGATTAGACCACTCACCCGCTGTTTGAACTGATTTTAGGATTTTCTTGTTCTGGCACATTAAACAACACTATCTGAAGCACGTCTGTTATTTTGAATTGACTATAGCTGATCTATATTAATTAATGCAGTAAGGATTTTGAATTGTGGATATAAGGACAGTTAATATGCTGTTTAAATGTTGTATTTGTCCATTGAAACTGCAGCCACTAAGACTGGCTCTCTCTTGTGGCCAGAAACGAACACACATGCTGTGACCTTTCACTCAATTATCTAGCGACTAATCAGTCATACATGTTCTCACCATGTCCAGTTATAACTCTTCATCTGTACTCACCAATTGAGTAAATGGACCCTCCTGTTTCCTTGCAGCACAGTGAATCCAAAAGGAGTGAAAGCCAGAAATGCTGGGTTGCCAGACACATCCTGACAGACAACACACACCCATGGGTTTTTGTTATCATGGAAGCAGAACTTTAAATATTGGTGAGATTAGGTTTTTTCTAAAAGTGTAAAAAATTACTTTCAAATTTAAGCCATCAATTGTGTAACTTGTACATTTTAATTTAAATAAACTTGGCATTTGCTTGTAATTGATAGATTTTTTTAGTGTAGTGACAATCAAGAGAGCAGTAAAACAAATAACTCTTCTCACAGGGTTATAATTATAGGTATTATATACAAATAGGTTTATTTTAGACCACCTTGCATGGATGAGGGTCCACTCCATATGTCTCCAGCATCTGAGCCTTCTGGAGGAAGTTGAGCTCGGACGTTTCAGGACTCTGACCTCTGGAAAATAACAAAACAATCAATTAAAGTCTGTTAATTGGACTGTCAGAACCATGCATCAACTCAGAGAACACCATGTGGTTGAATATACAGTATGTGCTTATGCTTAAGATGAAAATAATTTTTAAAAATACCATAATAACCTGCAGCACAAGTTTGTGTTAAGTTCACGTCAGTCCTGTCCTGTGTGTCCCTACCAGGAATAAATCTGAACTCGTAATCTTAGTCTGATACTCAAATATGGTTGTTTTGTCAAAAGAATAAAACTCAAGATGTCAAATATTTCAGTCTGATCGGATTTGTCTCAGGACAGAGACCTAAGCTGCAACTAATTTTCTTGCAGCAGCTGTAGTCAGAGGTCGATTCTGACCAAAAGAAATAAAGGATTAAAAATCAGTCTGTTGTCTCTCTAATCCTCACTGAGAATCATATGTGAGTACACTTAATCTCAGCCAAACAGTCTGGGTCTGTAGGCTTGAATCTGCCAGATAGTTGAAAAAAGAAAAAGCCATGACGTCAAAGGGTGGCCATGTAACAAAGGTGAAGGTCACACAACCTCTCATTGATCAAGATCTTTGGATTACAGGAGGAAAAACCAGATGCTTACACATCCTGCTGTGACACCAGTCGGAAACAAGGATGTGAGCAATGTCAATATATTTTACTATTTTAACATTTAACCTTTTATGAAAAACTGTACCAATTTCTTTTGATCAATATAATGAGACTTTTTTCTTTGTATTCAATCTGTGAGCATCCTGATTCAAATACTGAACTATACAGTGTTTGAAAATCACTCAGTACATATTTGAACTCACAAGGCAGGGACCAATAAATTAATTAAATATAACATAAGTGTGCACAGTGAATAGGCAGAAGCTGACTCAGAATAACTTCACCCCTCAGATCTCAAACTGACAAAGATCTGCTTTGCTTAACACCGGCTGACTGATTTATTGGTGGAGTATATTTTGCTCTTTGATGGAAGAAACTTTTACGATCATACATGAATGCACTAAAAATGTGTGTGGACCATTACGTTTTATAGAAGGAACTCCTGTCTCCATTCAGTGGTTAATCAGCCTAATAACTGCCAATGATCTCTGCAGTGCTGCAGCCAGATGTAGCAGCAGAGTTTACTAACTGACACCTGATTACAGATGGTGGAGGAAGTACATGGGGAGCTGGGCTTCCTCCCAAAACCACCAACCCTCTGGTTACTGGATGACACTCTCCTGAGCCATGAGTGTAAAATTATCAAACAGAAGTAAAAGTCTGGTCATTTTTCTCCTCACCGCTTCTAGAATCTGATATTTTTATTATTTATTTTATTTGTATTGAATTTGTCCAGGTTTTATCCAGATCATTTAGATCATTAAGACTTATTTCATCACCAAAATAAGATGCAGACAAAATGATTCACGATGATATGTTAACATGTTTTTGGGAAAAGAAGTGACATTTAAAAACCAATACTGTAACCATGTAGTAATTGATCAGAGCCCTAAATCCTTTATAGACGTACACAGGTAGATGCTCTTTTTTATATTTATGCACCATCTTTATTTATATCAAGCTGCTTTCAGACATGCACTGAAGTCCACAGATCCTCCGTATTTTCTCTGGCGGAGGTGTATGTGTGAACACAAATGTCCAATGAGAGCTACTGCAGTTTCTCCTGACTTTATGCACCTGCCCCCCCGGGGCATGAGAATTCAGTAGAAACCATGAGGCCTTCTCATCCGACTCTTCTTCTTCTGCTTGTTCTGTTTCTTCTTTGTTTTCTTGTTCAAAGCTTTGTGTTCACTGCCCTCTGTCTCATCTTCCACTTTAAAATTTTTCATAATTTCCAACTTTTCCACCTCTCGACTGCTCTTTTCCTCGGCCTGAGGCAGCTCATACTCTCGACTGCTCTCTTCCTCGACCCGAGGCAGCTC